TAATGTAGAACCTCTCCTCCCTGTCCCCCTGCTTGGCATTTTCTTTTTAAATGAGAACCAGTGTGGAAATGTATTCATCTTTAACAAACAGTTCACTGTCTCTCTCTCTGTGTGTGTGTGTGTCCATGTCTCTCTGAACCTCTGAAACCAGTCCAAAGCTTTGGTGGCAGCCCAATGTGCTTCAGGCAAGTCCCACTTTGCTGAGAAAGGTTTGAATTTATCCAAAGCAGATTTTGGCTTCACCTGAAGCAAATGCACACCCCTAGTAAGTATAGGTGGAACACCATCCTTCAATCGTATTTCCAGTGCAAGCTATAAAAAGAATAAGAATTGGGATGTACAGGTGAACACATTAAAATGTGAATTGAGCCAAGAAGAGAGAATGAGGTTTGAGTGGGAAATAGGCAGGGGGAAATATCATGAAGAAGTCAGTAGGACCTCCTTACCCGAAGATGTATGTTAATCAGAAAAATAGTTAAAAGTAGTGTGCCAGAGGAAAGGTATAAGTGGAAGAAAGCATGTTGCAGAGTGAAAATGTGTTGGGAGGTATGTGGATAAGAACATGTAGTGTGCTACCAAAAAAAGAAAAAAGGCAAATCAGAATAGAGATGATCAGTGCAACAAAGTTTAAGAATCATGTCTAAGTTTTGTTATATTCAGGCTAGCATGAGGGGCATTCATCAAAGATTTCCCCTGACATACTTCCCATGGACTGAGACAAATGAAACTGGGCACAGTTATTAGTCCTTCTCTACATAGCTACCAGCAAGAGTCAAACACTTCTCCCATAATTTTATGTAGCTGTAGAAGTCAGCAGGTTGCATCAGAAGCCATGACGTGACCTCAGAAATCAGCATTTCATCATCTGGAAAAAGCTTGCCCTTCAAAAATAACTTAATGGTTGGAAAGAGGTGGAAGTCTGATGGTGAGAGGTTGGAAGAATAAGGGGGCTGAGGAAGGATTTCATAGCCACAGGACTGTGCTTCTGTCTGAGTGACATGCGAGTTGTGAACTGGGGCGTTATCCTGCAGGAGACAGAAACCTTTGGTCAGCATACCACGCCTCTCGATTTTGATGGCCTTCCGCAATTTCTGCAGCAGTAAAGCGTAGTATGTCCCGGTAATTGTGGTACCCTTTGCCAGGAAATCCATCATCACTACTCCACCCTGGTCCCAAAAGGCTGTGAGCATGACCTTGCCCACTGATGGTTGTACATGTGCCAACTTTGGAGGTGGTGAGGCAGAGTGGTTACATTGTTTGGACTAGAATTTAGTCTCTAAGTCATAATGATGGACCCATGTTTTGTCCTGAGTAATTAGTCTGGCGAAGAAGTCATCATGGTTTTCATGACACGTGGCCAAAAGAGCCCGTGAGCATGCGACTCGTTCCTGCTTCTGGAAAGGCGTCAACATCTGGGGAACCCTCGGTGCGGACACCTTTCCCATGTGCAAATGGTCATGGATTGTTTCTTCTACAGAGCCCACACTGATCTTGACATCTGCAACTAGTTGGCAAATGGTTATGCAGTGATCCTCCAAAATGGCGGCCTCCACTTGCTGGATGGTGTCTTCATCAATGGCGGACTGTGGTTGCCCAGGAATGGGAGCCATTCCACTGAAGTCCAACCACATTTGAACTGACAATGCCAGTGCTTGACTACATCATACGATGGGGCATCCTCCCCATAAGTCCCTTTCATCTCATCAAACGTCTCCCATGTTCGGCACCCTTTCAAGTACAGGAACCTTATTACCACTCTTCATTCAACTGGTTCCATTATCAGACATTAATCCATGTTAGCACCCATAACAGAGAAACTGTTAGGAGTTCAGAGCTACAAATTACCACGTTGCCTATGGAGAGATGTATCATTATACATATGCAATTTCATCCTATGATAACCAGAAGTGGGTTAGGGGAAATCTTTAATGAACGACCCTCATAAACATGTAAAGAACAAGCTACATAGCTTCTACTCCTAAGGCTATTTACAAGGAATTCAGTCACATTGAAATTATTGGGACAGTTACAATCAATATGCTTGTGATGAAGTTATAATACAGTGGCCTATTCCACACATATCACTAAACTATGAATTGTCCATGAACAAATGAACAATATCTTGATTGGTTTGTGTCATGCATTTGTAGTTTGGTGAGTATCTGAGGTCAGGAGGCCAAACAAGTCATGGTTAAGGAAGGGTGCTGGGCTTACACGTAACACATTTCACACCAATTTTCTAAGCAAATAACTAACCATGGCTTCTGATCTTGATTTGTTGACAGCAAGGAAATAATGGATAAGGTGCTGGCCTGGAATCACACATAATACTAACCCATGGTTTAGTGTTATGTGAGAACCAGGTCAATATATGGTGTGTTATGGAAGCTCAGAGTTGATTCGTTCTGGTCTAAAATCAGGATAGAATCTCAATTATATGCCACCCTATATAGTTTGAGTAGCAGTAGAGGATTAAAAAAGACCCTGTGAAGAAATGGAAGAATAGCAACAAGTCTTAATTTCTCCCTACACCCTACATTACACTAATTTGTGTCAGCGCTGAGGCAGACATTTCAAAGAGCATGATGAGATCAAATTCATGAAGTCCATGAACTTTTAAGATGTAAATGCATACTCAAGCTCTTTGTGACATGCAAAGAAAGGGGGAAAGCTTGTAAAAACAGAACAAACAAGATGAGCTAACAGAAAAAAATACACACATAAGGAAAGCTAAGGAAGAAAAGAAAGTGAATAAGCAAAAGTAAAGGGAAAAATCATTAAGTAAACAAGAAATGCTGGACACAAGACACTTGACAGTTTTAAAAACAAGATAAGGAACACATGCAAGAATGAGGAATAGAGACAAAATTATGCTGAAGAAAAGAGCAAGGAGAAATGTTGGAAACATGTGCTGCATACTAAAATGCCATTCTTCTGGCCAGCAAAGCTGAAAAGTGGTACAAAGTCAGCTTTCCTCTAAACTGTGCATTCAAGTGAGTGCCACTGTCAGCTAAGGAAGGTGAAGTGCAACAAGCCATTCAACTGCTGGCAATGGAAATGTCCCACATCACCCATGGTCTCTGGCTCAAACAGCAGCCAGCTCCCTCAGGCAGGACACTTTCACCAAGGGAATGTCTTACAACAGTTCTGCAATGTAGTTCAGTATTTCATTGCAGCATAGAAGTGGCTAAAAATGGGCCTAAGAAGCAGAAGCTGTCAGTCTGCGTAGTTTCACAGTTATGGTTGAGGGGAATTCAGCCAAAGAATTGAATTAAAGCTGAAGAGAAAGGCATTAACCTCAATTGTGCAATTCTCAATTCACACTAAATACACCATGGTTGCCAGGGGCAGGGTAATGATCAGGGAACATTGGGGACAGGTGCCAACATTTGCCCATCACCCTGTGAACTTTAGACTTTGTGTTAATACTGCTGACAAGGGTGGGTGGGTGGAGGGGGAGAGGGAGAGGGAGAGGGAGAGGGAGAGGGAGAGGGAGAGAGTGCCATAATGAGGAGAGCATGAATGAAGTGACAGAAATCCAACTGTGCTTTCACATATACACTTTATTCTGCAATATTCATAATTACCGTATTTTCGCCCTATAGGACGCACCGGCCCATAGGACGCACCTAGGGGTTTTTTTTGGGGGGGGGAATAAAGGGGAAAAAAATACCCCCCCCCCAGCCACGGGGAAACCCGAGCTTTTAAAAACGCACCTACCGTAGTTTTTAGAGGAGAAAAGGATATCTGCCCGAAGCGCGGGGCGCTCTGCTTCAGCGCGCCCACGCTCCGGGCAGCAGGCTGCTATCCACAGCCTAGGGAGCCCAGCGGGAACTCCCGCAGGGCTCCCCAGGCTGCGGATGTCTGCCCAAAGCGCTGGGCGTTCTGCTTCAGCGCGCCCACGCTCCGGGCAGCAGGCTGCGGATATCTTTCCGAAGCGCAGGGCGCTCTGCTTCAGTGCGCCCCGTGCTCTGGGAAGCAGGCTGCTATCCGCAGCCTAGGGAGCCCTGCGGGAACTCCCGCGGGCTCCTCAGCCTTGCTGATAGCTTCCTGAAGCCTGGAGAGCAAGAGGGGTCGGTGCGCACCGACCCTTCTCGCTCTCCAAGCTTCAGCGAAAGCCTGCATTCGCCCCATAGGACGCACACAGATTTCCCCTTCACAGGTATCATGCGCACTAAACGTCAGAAGGAGAGGAGTCATTTCTGTATTGATAGTACAGGAATATGACATCAGCTTTTGCAGCAGGCAAGTGAGGAAAAATCAAGTCATTGAGACACTGAAGACGGGTTGGATTTAGCTGAGATTAGTATCATCAAAGGAAGAGCCTATTGTGCACAGCAGAGAATATGTCAAATGCTACTGTTGGTACAGAGAATATCTTTCCTGACCTTTTGTATCAGCCTGGTTCACTCTGGAAAAATTAAATCCTACTGTAAATGCAGATCATTTGTTTCTTTTCTGTAGAAACGTGACTGATTTATTTGGCTGTGAGGCAGAATGCTGGACTGCACAAATTGTTTGGGTGGGGGCTGGAGGAGAGTCAGGTCTGAACATCATGCGCTTGGAACATCTGTGACTGTGTCCCAGCTAAATTTTCTAATTGGTTTAAATAGCAAGCAGGATGCCCATGCAGGAACCTTCTGCACCGCAGCATAATATTTTATGAACGGTTTTACATCCCTTGTGTGAAGCTTATTGTCTACCTCTTAGATGAACTTGGGATTGGCTGGGGAGAGCCACACATGAGTGAGTGTGCGAAGCACAGAATGTGCTATGTAAAACTGCTCATAAAACATCATGTTCTAACCAGATGCTCGCTTAGGTTTACCTCTAAGAAATTGAGCTTAAATGCACAATGTATTGGCCATAGGGGAACAAATAACTTGACGTGTTCCACTCCTTACTTTTTATTCACCTTTTATTCACAATCATAGAATTGTAGGGTTGGAAAGGACCACAAGAGTCCTCTAATCCAGCCCCCCTGCAATGCAGGAATCTTTTGCCCAACATGGGGCTTGAACCCACAACCCTGAGATTAAGAGTCTCATACTCTACCGACTCAGCTATTCAGATATTCGTAGAAATTAGATTTAGTCTTCTCCAGAAGCTAGATCAGAATGTCCTAGCAGTATATTATATGGTGGATAGTAAACACATCAAAATATATGAAACCGTCTGGTATTATTGATTAAGGCTATTGACCTAGCTGGGATTATAAAATCCACAAGGAGTCTCCAGGAGCACAAGGAAAGGAATTGGAGCTAGCATGTTTGTCGCCCCCCCCCCCAAGTGCTTGCTTAATTCAGAAGAAAAATGCCTGAAGAGGGATATAATGGTACTTCTAGGTCTATCCTCTCAAAATTCTCCCTCAGACTTCTTTCCCTGCCATTTGCCCATGGGTGAAATTTGGCTTCAGTTCAAAAGAGTAGGAAATTTATCGTTGACATTGGCCAAGTCAGATTTTCTCCCTGGCAACAGAATAGCAGTATTGGAAACTTGCAGCTTCCTGGCTATAGCCTTAATTTGTATCACAGCTGGGGCTGCCCTCAATAAGTACAGGAGTGAGAGCCTCATGCAACAGTGGAGAGAATCAGATAATACACAATTCTTAATTATAAAATAATTTGCACTAGGGCAGACACTACTGAGCTGGTTCATCGAGGTTGCAGAAGTATAAAAGTTCTGTAAATGCAATGAGAATACACACTGAGCCTGACTGGTTCTTATAAACAGAGTAGGATAAAACAGTATTAATGCAAAGAGGTCTGTTAAAGAAATAGTTATATAAAACAAACAGGAAACAGACTCTACAACTGCATTGACTCTGCTATTGAAAAGACAATACAAACATGAACATATCTATTTCATAGGATCAAAAGGAGGATTGTGTTAAATTATATATCTTAAAAGGTTGGATGTTACTGGCCCATGACACTTCCCCCTTGTTTTTACTCATAATTCTATTCCATTCCATTTATTTAGTGATGCTGTGAATTTAACGATAAAAATAATTGATGTGATAATGTTTACAAAAGTTCACTATGACTTGATTGCTCACCATCATGCTGTATGTTCTTGTTGATTTGGAATAAGTGCCTATTTTCCCCCAAAGGAAAAAAAACCAAAAACAAAGCCTGGTTAAGTTCCAAGTCCCTGGAATCTCACCCTCTTCAGCAGAGATTGGGGTGGGCTACAACAATATTGTGGGGCATGTCATTCCCTGAGTCTTAGATCAGGAAATGTGGTTGGACAAGCAGGCAGACAGGCAGCAGAGCGCTACCTTTTTAGAGAGGTGGAGACACACACCAACCATAGAGACCTCACATTGATGGGGAAAGCTCATAACCCTTTGCCTACCAAAATTCTAAACCAATTCTAAAGTGCCCTGATAATGAGCTAGAAAAATGGAAAGCTTTTTCATGAGGAAAAGGAAACCTTTAAGAAATTGGAGGGCCAATTTCAGCACAGGATGGTAAGCCAGTCAAATATGGGAATGTATGTGCTCATTCAGTACATTTTATCATGGGCCTTCTTGGTTAAAGCACCCTAGATGTGGAACTCTCACACACAGGACATGCTGTACAGTTGTTCCTGATATTAACTGTGTTTTTATGTCCATGTCAGATGTTTATTTTCCATCAGTTTTACTGAAGTTGCTCTGCTCTGGAAAAAAAACTTCCTATGTCAATAAGTATCAGGCTGATTCATCTATGAATTTTGCTGAAAAAAGGTAGAACACACAATATTTACAATAGATATCAAATGCTTGTATTTGATAGTGAGTGGCCTGTACTTCTCTACAAAAAGTACAATCAATACATCCTTACTATAGTCAGATGTTTGTATTGTACCTAAACAAGCAAATTCACAAACCAACTATAGTGCCATTCATCACTACAGCTAAGTAGGTCTTGACCTGTCAGGCATCTGAGTAGAGAGGCTTTGTGAGAATTTAATACATACTCTTCTGAGTTTCTGAGGAACAAAGAAATATAGATGTAATAGTACTTAGTAGAACTAAACTACCATGTACTATAGTTTCAGTGGATGGAGATGATTCAGCAACTATCAATTGTTGGTCATAGATGAACAGTGAGTAACACTCATCTTTTATATTGCACAAAAGATCTTTGTATTAATTCTTATGTATAAGAGGACTGTGCTGCACTCACTATGACCACTTTCTTAAAAAAAAAATTGGGGGGGAATTAATAATGTTATGAATAGAGAATTTCACATGGAAATAGATAACTTATAAGGAAAGTAAACAAATAATGGATTATTTTTCTTATCAAAAGAAAAAAGTTTATAACTAGTAAATTTCACTAAGATCACTCAAGTATCATTATCTACACTTAAAGAAGAATAACCATTGTTTGCACCAGAAAGTAGCATTAACATTTAACAGATATTTAGTTAGAAGCGAACACTGGATGCAGTAGGTGTTAGACCAGGCTTTCTCAACCTCAGCTCTCCAGATGTTTTGAGACTACAATTTCCATCATCCCTGACCACTGGTCCTGCTAGCTAGGGATCATGGGAGTTGTAGGCCAAAAACATCTGGAGGGCCGAGGTTGAGGAAGCCTGTATTAGACACATTTCCATTCCCCTTTTTGTTCTTTTGTTCATTTTGCCTCTGCGTTTTGATTCTTCTGAATTCCATTTTTTGTGTGGATGTGTTGCTTGCACAAAGGAACAACGCAGCTGCACAAAGGACTGGGGGGGGCAACATGTTTAGTCCTACCCCCTCCCGAGGTTGTGTGGCTTCTCTGTGCCCCTCATAGGTTGAAAATTAGCCTGAGCAAAGAGCCTTTCCTATCCATGTAGACTCCACATGAGATAGAGCTCTGATCTTCCAGAGTTCCAAATCATGTGGGGAGCCGGTAGGGAGGGGGAAATTGCATGACTTCACACATGGGGGTCTGCATGTGCTTAAGTTGCCAGAGTTTCTTTTTATTCTTGGTCAGGACATCAGTACATTTGCCTCCTATTTTTCTGTGTGGAAACTGTAGATAGCATGAAATGGTAAGATGTTTTTCAGATCAATACTAATGCAGCTTATGATGTATTGTTTTCTTCTGTGTTCCATTGTATAATCAGTGCAGTCATACTATACACACAAAGCAAAACAGATGACTTCCAGCAACATTTTGTAGGCCTTTCAGTGAATCAGATTTCTTGATGATATCATAGCTTTTCTTTTTCAAAGATGAATATTTAAAAGGCAGATCTGTCAAAGGTATATAATCCAAAAACTATTGTTTACAGAAACAGATGGATTTCATGAATATCATCACAATTTCAGTCCTGCGTATTGTCTCATTTCCGGGCTCCATATCTTAGCTCACTTTTTTTTTCTTTTTCTTTTTTAAAAAGTGGCTGATCTGCATTTTATACTTTGTGCACCAGCAGCCCTATATCCAGTGTCAGTAGCACAATTTCCCATGCCTCTGTGATACAGTGGATTGAGGATAGCCTTGCTACAGGGGACAACCATTCTAACAGCGGACTTTGCAGTACTGTTTGTTGTTCCTTTATTGTCTTTCCAGCATAGCTGAACCACAGTGGGTCTGAAAAAGCAAAATATTTCTGCATCAAAATGTAGTGAATCGATTCATTGTTGTGCATTGCTGAAGTTGCACCTTGTGGACTTAAAAAAAAAAATGCTTGCTGTACAAGGAATGCAAAAATAAACCTCCATGTAGTGAATGAAACTGTAAATATAATAAGCTGTTAACTATATTGATCTCTTCTGCATTCACAGAGATTGAGAAGAAGAAAGAGAATTAAAATGGAGATAGGAGATTGAAATTGTCAAGTCTGCTGGCCATTCCACCATTTTCATAATCCTATTCTTTATGGACTTAGCAAGGCTGTTTTATTGATGTTGATTACATTTCATGAATCTTTCAATAACTGCCTTTTGAAGAAGATAGTATGCATATTTTAATGAAATGCAATACACTGAACCGTGCATTATATTAGAGCAGTAAGTTAACACAGTAGTTCCTTTATCATTTTAATATGAGGAACAAAGAGAGGGGAAGACATTGTCTTGCATACATGAAAGGGGGGAATAATTATATAAGGGGAGAAAACATTGGTCCCCCCCCCCTTTTGATGTGAAGGGATAATTCTGCAAAGAACCCCCATCCAGAACGGCAGTGTTATTTATGAAAACGTTGGAGGGTCATGATACCCACCCAGAAATATGGCAGATTGCAGTGATTTTTCAAAGATATTTGTGATACCTGATAAGAGAGAGCAGGGAAATCAAAGCAACAGGATTATCCATTTCATAGTGAACCGGTGGCACATCCATTTGAGCCTATAAAAAGTAGGACGGTGCACCAGATTCAATCAAATCCCATATTCTGAACCAAATCAGGCCAATTTGGAGGGAAGCTTGGACCAAATCATATCAAGACAACTCAACTCTGGATTGAATTGGGCCATGTAAGCCTGCCTGGAGTGATCTAGGACTGTCAGTGGCTGGGGTGAGTGGTGAGAAGGGTACAGGATATGTGCTTTGTCCTTGCATGTCCCACAGTGACTAGACAAAATAAGTAGTGCCTCTCATCTGCAGAATTCAAAGACAGTTATTCTCCACCCCTTGCAGCTGAGAGCTGAGGGTTTGATTCTATGGATGCTGCTTCTGAAGTGCCTTCCCTGTAGAGTGTGGCTTTGGAGAACCTGGGGCAGAGGCTGGTGGTCCTGGATAATTGGAACAGTTGTGTTGTGACCCACTGCATCTTTCCACCCATCTATTTTCATAGTTATTAATATTTGGATCAGTGAAAAGAGATCAATGTGTCCGAATAAGTCATGGAGCCCAAAGGACACACCCTGAAGCTTTGCTTAAATATAGAAATTCAATTATTTGCCTAGTTTTTTCATAGCTTTTTACTTCTTTTCTTAACATGCAGTTATTCATCTCTGTTCTTTTAAACTTCAATAATGTAAGCCTTAGAACCATATACATTATTTCTGAAATTGCATGTCTTTCTTTCTTTCTTTCTTTCTTTCTTTCTTTCTTTTTTTTTAAAAAAACTGCCTCCAGCTCTCTTTCCCCC